TGATGCTGAGTAGGAGGACAGAAAGAGAGGCTTGTAAATCCTGCTTGGGTGCTAAAGTGTCCATCATTAAACAGCTATTCCTCATGGCTCTCTTTTTAATTCGGTGAAAGCCATGAAAAAAAAAAGGCTAGCCTCCAGCATATCCTAATGGCACTGCATCAGGAGGCAATCTAATGGTTTCTTTGTCTTCAGTGTGTCTGTCTTTGTGGACATCTGCATTATTTGCACAGTGCTGTAAGCAAAAGTCAGCACCATCTGACACACTTCTGAATCCCTTACATTCCTCAACACCTGTGCCTCAATGTTATTTAAAGCACTCAGGGGCTCTGCACCAAAAACCAGCCACTGGCTGTGTGTGTGTGTGTGTGTGTGTTCGTGTGTGTGTGTGTATAGAATCATTTCTGTATTAGCAACAGGCATTGCTGAGGCAGAAAATAAGGAAATATATATTTTATAAAAATTGTAGAACCTTGACCACAAAAATAAGAATTGTGGCCTGACTGAGTTGTTTTCCTTTTCTTTTAGCGTTGACACAGATTGCTTAAAGTGGCAGTATGCAGTTTTACCTTTAATCTCTAGAAACATCCATTGAAATTTTGTTGAACATTAATAAAATGATGCCCAATTGTTGAAGAATATTGGTGGCTTTGTAACATAACCATATAAACCGGGTCTAAAGTACATAGGGCACGGTTCTAGCATCTTTGGGGGTACCATGTTTCCTTCTGGAAAGCTCGGGGTCATGCGCCATTCAATGTTGTCACACTAGATTAGTGGTTGGATATAGATCCACTAAGATAAATACAATAAAGTTTATCTTTCACCAAATACAATATTTACTAAGACATCACAATATAACTATAGACACATTACTTGTCTTTGTGTGTGTGTGTGTGTGTGTGTGTGCGTGCGTGCGTGCGTGCGTGCGTGCGCGTGCGTGTGTGTGTGTGTGTGTGTGTGTGTGTCTGCTCTGTTTTCTCGATCCCCAGTGAGTGGTGGTGGATGGCTGCTTATACTGAGCCAGGATTCTCTGAAGGTTTCTTCCTGCTAAAAGGGAGTTTTCCTCTCCACTGTCGCTGCATGCTTGCTTAGTATGAGAATTGCTGTATAGTCACTGACACTAGTCAGTGACTTGATGCAATTTGCTGGGTTCCTTATATAGGAAACATTATTTCGGATTGGCTTGATGAACTGACCTGAATTGGAATGTTTATTATGTGAAGTGCCTTGAGACGGCTCTTGTCGTGATTTGGCGCTATATAAATAAACTTGAATTGAATTGAATGTACAACTTATGGAAGTAACAACCTTCAAAAACATTAAAGTAGTAAGAAATACATATTTAATAACAAAACTGCTAAACTCTTGAAATGGATGGATGTATAAATATCCTGTACTTGTGTCTGTCATCAGAATGTACAGAAATCTTTGCAACAGATGTGCCTCATCCTTATGATAATGTAAGCATAATCATAAACAGTTCCAGTTTTACTGAAAACACCTCAAACGTCCGAGACAGAAGTCAGCTATTTATTTTTCTTGTGTTTTTCTCCTAGGCCCAACGGAAAGCTGTTTCATATGTTTGTTTGTCAAGCCAGAGCACAATGGAGTTCATGCCCAGCAGCCTCTTATCTCCAGTTGTAGTGTCATGGCGTGTTTGTGCTTATCATCTGTCCACAGCTCTTCCAAGTTGCAGGACGTCACTTGACTTCTTTGGGGCTTTTCCAAGTCACATGGCTTCCAACAGTGACTGATTCACAATTAGTGAATTTGAATGTGCAGCTGCATTACAGTTAATGAAACTGCAAATGCAGAAAGCAAAACATGAAACCCTACAACTGACATCAAGTGTAATCAATGTGCCTGATGAGTGATTTTTACTAGAGATAAATATTGTGATGTAATGAGAAAAATAACCACATTTTGTAAATGTTGGTGATTTTTCTCAGCTAACAGACAAGAATAGTTTCAAAGGGAAACCGTTTGCATACAGGGAAAATCTCAGGCAATGCCACAACATGAACATTTATAAAAATAAAACAAGAAAGTTGTAAATATAGAGGTACTATTTTAAAATAGTTAAATTGCAGCCTGAGCTTCTTGCACAGCTAAAAAGAAATCTGTCAAAGGGAGGAAGCAGAATTTCAGAAGATACAACCTCCAATGGCTTCCTTTGAATTAAACAGGCAAACTACATTTTCAGCGAGCTAAATGCTGCATTTCTTTGTATTGTTCTTGTACAAAGCTAGTGAAAAGAGAGTGAGTGAAGTGTGGTGGGCTGAATTTGTTTTGTTTGCTGAAAGGAAAGAATACAATCAGCTGTGAAGTTTGGCTCAAACAAAAGACTGTTTCTAAAAAATTTAAAATGATAAAAATACTAATTGTCACAAAGATTGCTGCCTCAGTTTTAATAGGGGCAGCTTGCGCGAATCCCCAAGATGACCTAATTTAATGAATAGTACTGAAAGACAAATAATCTGACTTCAATCCCAGGCTACCCATGCCACATGTCAAAGTGTCTTTGGGCAGACACAGCCTACTTGCTCCTCTGGGATGGGGCAAATTCACATAAATGCCTCAATCAATCATTAAAGTTTAAATGTGATCAATCCTCCTGAAGCAAACAAAAACCTGCAGATTCGAATAAACTCCAAGCACTGACCATACCAGTAGTAATATATATATATATATATATATATATATATATATATATATATATATATATATATATATATATATATATATATATATATATATATATTCTGGCTATGACCCATAAAGAGAGTTCAGTAGTGGATTGGAGTCTAAAGTTGTCTGTCAAACTCTCCGTATGCTCTTGGACAACAAACAAGGTGATGTACTCACCACTATGAATGGCAGTCAACGGGGCAGCTCTCCATACACTGTTGAAGATGCAAATACTTTTTTTTTCCTAAATAAAAAAAGGACTTAAGAACCTCTATCTGCTCTTGACTCAAAGAAAAGCACAAGTTTCATCAAAAGCTGTTGCCAACGATGTTTCAAATGAACTGTGGCCATCTTTGTTGTTCTGTTGCATCAACCCGCCACCAAACCACTGTGATCGCTATAACGATAAACCTGCGGAGAATACAATTGGGCGTGGCTTGACCAACCTGCAGAGCAAAATCTTTGATACAATTGCAGTTTGTTTAAATTTCTAGGGTGATCTTCAAAGAAAAGTCAGACATTGCAAATATTGACTGCTTCTACAAACCTAATATGCCAATGAAAGCCTGTGGAACTGATGAACTACTTGTGGTTGTACAGAAAAAAGGGTTAAATCAGAATGATTCAGCCAACTTTGTGAAAACCAATACTTGAGTTGTTCTTATAACCTAATTGTAATAAAAAAAAACTGTTCCTCTCTTTTATATGTCATAATGAATTTGAAATGTTGCTGCATTTCAAATATTTCGCTTAATTTTAACTGTAGAAATGTCAGGTTTCAATGAATAATATCCTTGTTTATATTTGATTAATTTACCAGATTTGATTGTTACATTACAAGCCTACTACAACACTAGAGGATTCAATTAAATCATTTTCCAGACAGCCTACTCTATATGGATTTCCGTGCTCATTTGCTTGTTTGTAGGACACTATTAAAATGTTTTGGTGTTCATGTATAGATTTTGTACCCCTTGTGTTCAATACATCAAGTGCTATTTCAATCAGGCTTTGTCTGTGGATTTTCTCATCCAGACAGTATGTAGAGATTAATGAGAGAAAATGGCTGATTCAAATGATCCTGCACTGCCCACTGGGGCCACTGATTGTACCAGTCAACATGCAAATGGTTATGTTTATTACACGGAGGAAAAGGCACAGAATAAAGGGTCCTTGATAATCACTAGCTGGTATTTGGTGAAAGTGACGTAAACTGCAGACATCAAATATTTATAATTAGATTTTTTTAATATACACAATAACTGTGAATTCCTGCATGCAAATCTATACTTAGATGCATAAAACATATTTTGCCATAATTTTTCTAGTATTTTTAGAATTAAACATTTCAAGAAATGCAATCTGTGAGATCATGAAAGTGATGCATTCAATAAGGCCATTTATCTAACAATACAAAGGGAAAAAAAGGAAAAATGTCACATAAATGGCAGGTCTGTAACTGGTTCCCGTGCTCTATGCAGCACATGATCGCAGCCTCTTTCTCGTTCCACTATCTGTCTTTCTTAACAGCTCCCCAGATGTCTGCTCGGTCATCTTCTTCCTCGTTTGAGAAAATTATCTGGTTTTCTCTTGACTATGCATTATCACTCTGCGTAGAGCTTTGTGCAATCGTAAGTGTTGCACACTGCATGCAAACTGTCATGAGTTCATTATTGTTATTGAATGTATGTACAGGCAGAAGAATGACCGACTTCCTAGCATTCATATTAAGTATGCACTTAAGTTGAAATGTGCAAAGCAGTACTGTCCTATGTGGGATTTAGAAGGCTGCTAAAAAGCATGATTTAGTTGTTTCCTTGCTCAAATGGACCTGATTCATTGTTGATTTACCTGTTCAACATGTTTTCAAAAACTGCAAAAACTGTTCATAATTTATGGATTATGATAGAATAGAATAGACCATTAATCCCACAGTGGGGAAATTCACTCATTACAGCAGCACATACACTTAGAAAAAAGGAAGGAGTAAGATTACAGGTATAGACGACCTTCAACCACTAAAAAAAAACTAATAAAAAAGGAAACGTGTTTCCAGAACTATGCAGCATAAGGGACACGGACACACTGTATGTACATCCGAAATTGCACAAGTATTGAACACATACTGAATATCGCATTGATGAAATTTTGTAACAAGATAATGCCAGTACCAGCTAAAAAAAAGTTGTGTTGGAACAGAAAAGCATCTAAACATGCAGGATGGTGACCCTTAACAACTCTAGATTTTAATATCACTGATCTAACTCGATTTAAAACAGATCCTAATGTAAACTTATTTTGTTCCATTTCAGATGGCCCCCTGGGACCACGTGGCCTCGTGGAAGCTACAGAGATGTGCACACAGGAGTGCCTTGTCCTGGGACATTCGGACAACTGTTGGATGCCTCCCACTTTAGGAACATATCAGCAGCCCAAGTCGCCCATGTCCAGCTATGGGTCTCAGCGGGAATGGGGTCCAAAGGACAAACTTCTTAATGGACATACTCTGTCCAGAACCTGGAAAAATGAGACCGGACGGTCGGAGCATTTTGGCGACAGGAAGCAGTTTGGCAGCGGTGAGGGACACTTCGGGAACAGTGGCATTGCTGATATTCCTTTAGTAAGTCTGAAGTCCTGCCAGTCATCCTCATGCCCAGACAGCCCAAAGGACCAGCAGCTATAAGATGGACTCTGCTTCTGTTCCGTTAGGAGCCCTCACATCCGGACAGAGTAAAGAGGTGGTGTACCTGAGCTCCATTGTCGTACTTCTTGTCTAATCTCTTTCCTCTTAAGTTGATGCTTCTCTGCGGTGTAATAGCCACATGTACTGTGTAGGCCAGGAAAACAAAAAGTGCTTATGCTTTGTCACTGCTCTACAGAAAATCCTTTTTGTGTGATCCTCTGTGGATTTCTTCAGTGTTAAACGGCATTTCCTGTCCACTTCCTGTACGAAATGGACATGAGGAGGAAGGACTTGCATAAAACTGAAAAAAGAAGAAAAAATGCTGGCTGACCAATATATACCAATATTTGTGGTGTGATTATTATTGAGTTGTTCTGGACTATATTAATCGACACAGTCAAAGAAAATTTACTACATTTCAGAAAGTGTTCTGATAACACTGTTTGTAGACACCTGTTTATTCTGTCATTGTCTCCGTGTTTGTAAATAAGACTTATTAACCACAATCATGTATCTGTAATATCCACGGCAGGTAGAAGGGTTTGTGGCTGTTGTCATCATGATGGTTCATCTGGATTTGGGATTTCAACTGGAAAATTATTTAGAATATCATACAAAAAAGCATTTTCCTAATTATTTTAGAGAATGGTTGATTTTGAAACAACGTCACCCTGAATTTTAAGCACTGTTGCCCATAAGCCATAATAATTTCCTTCTAGCACTGCAAAATCATAAAAGCAAACTTTTCTTTTTTGTTAAAAAAAGCAAAAACTAGAAAAAAGCTGTATGAAGGATGTCAATGCTCAATATGTGCATTATAAAAATGGAAAGCTCTCAAGACTCTCCACTATAAACCAATTTTGAAAGTGTTTAGTACAATAGCAATATATTTGTAAATGGCTAAATGTTTTATCTAAGGTTGATCTTACTACTGTATAGATTTTATTCAAATTGTGATTTCACTGAGTGCAATTTCTCAGTAGAACCTACAATTTACTGACATATGTATATAAATATACATATTGTATGTAACGTTCCCACAGATTTATTTCCCATTCATAATTAAACACGGGTTAGGGTAACAATTCAATTCACTGTGCCTTCATGATCCTTCGTCAAAATACCGAATTGTGCAAATTTCAAATGATAAGAACATGTTGGCTATAAAGTAACTCCCATCTGATGATCAAATGCCTTATGCGTTGAATACCTGCCCATTTCTGAGACATAATCACGGCAGGTGTATAAGTGCAAAAGTCAATCTGAGGAAAAACACAAAGGCATGTACAGATTGTGGGCCATCCATGAAAGATAATTTCTTTGTGATAATGCTGGTCCTAAAAGACTGGTTTTTTAAGCATGGGAGGCAAACACACCATGGATCAGCATGCTACAAGATATACCTTAAACAGTTAATTTTGTGTCTTATTTTTCTTACAATGTTTTTGGAGGGACGGACTATTGAAGTTAAGTTGTTCTTAAGGAGTTATTTGATTTGTAAAGCACTTTCATATTTCTGTCACAATATTAAAAGATGTTTAGTGGGATGGAGTGGTTTGCTTATCGCAGTATGTTTGTTAGTTGTGAGGGTGTTTGACATCGCATACTGAAACAGTTAATCCATGTTACTACTATACAGGTATAAAGCTACTGCAATAAATGTTTTAAATATGTGTATGCTTCATTTGCCTACAAGGTGGTAACATCTGGAGAGTTGTGTCTTTTTATCTGTGCAGATAAATGCCTACAGGAACCTGGCAACAGAACCAGGTACATAATCATGAAATGGGGCTGGAATTTATTTGGAAAGCATCCCCTAGCAAAAAATTCTGGATTTCATCTAATTAGAGAATATGTTATCTCTTGTAAATATTGTGTGTTCCTTATATCTTATTTTTCCTCGTTCTTTAATAAACCAAAGGGCTGGTGAAGTTAGAGGAACTAAGCAGAAACAGAACATGCTTCGTGGGAGTCTGTCATGTTGATGAATAGTTTGTCTGGCCTATTTAGCATTGTGTGTCCTTATAAATGACAAAACTCCCCATAACACACAACAACAACAATACATTCAGGGTCATTGTGGCATTTCGAAACATTTACCAAAACCCCAGAAGGGACACAGTTGGGAAATGGTCAATAATTAAAAAAAAATAAAAAAAAACAGACTTAAAGCTTCTTTATATAAACTATTTAACATTTATACTTGTAACAGTTTGCAGATTTAAGGAATGTCCAGGTTTGGCTTATTCTCAGTTGGTTTAACACTTCAGAATTGGTGCTGCATTGATCAGGTGGTTGTTTTGTTGCCTCACACTAAGATAGTTTGAAGCCTTTCTGCACAGAGTTAGCATGTTCTCCCCATGCATGGCTGAGTTTTCTCCAGAGAATGTCAGGTTGATTGCAGACTCTAAATGGTCCTTAGGTGTGAGTGGGTAAGTAACTGGTTGTTAGTCTCTGTGTGGACCTGTGACAAACTGGCAACATTTAAAGAGTATGCTCCCGCCTCTTGCCCAGTGACTGCTGAACAAATGCCCCAGCTCACCATGACCCTAGTGACTATGAAGGGGTTTAGATGTTGGGTGGATGGAGATTGTAATTGTTTTATTCTGATTCTAATGTGTTTGGAATCTATTTCCAAAATGGTAAATTAAAATGAGATCATTTGGTGAAGCTGTTCTAGGGGCTGCTGCCCTCCACAGCCATGAGGACTTTCAAGACCGATCAATTTCAAGTCTTATTATAAAATTACATCTACACATCTGTCCCAGTGAGCTGCAGCAGTGTCTGTGCTCAGGAACTATTAAGTGATTTAACCCCAATACAACCCCTTAAAGCTGACTGTCAAGGAGGGAGGCATTGGGCTCACTTTTTAAGGTCTTAGGTATGAACCAACAAGGATTTGAACCCCACTCTCCCAGTGCCAGGGCAGACACCTCACCACTAGGCTGCTGAGAAGGTAAAGGCAAAAAGTCCTCAATGTACAGCTTGTTTGGGGCAGGAACAGAATGCAAGACACAGGGATACAAGTAACCAACAATGAGTGGAGGACTGAACTTGGTTTAAGTATACTGAGGCAGTGATGATGAAACAGGGAACAGGTGTACATGATCTGCTACAGGTGAGTTTAATTAAGAGAGAGAGACAACACAGGCACTAAAATAAAAGGAGGACAAAGAAGAAACCATAAAAACAACACATGATAACTACTGACACTAGAACCAAAGACCTAAAGCAATTAAACTAGTTTAGCAATGACTGAAAACAGGAAAAAAACATATTAATACTATTGTAAACAGAGCAAACAACATAAAATGAGCCAGGGAGCAAGGGCAGGGAAAATTAAAACATAGACAAGAAATAAAACACCAAAGAGGCTGTTGATTGGAAAGACTGAAAACATTAATAGGAAGTAAAGTGAATAACAGGAATGATAAGTCTGAGGGGACAAGCACCACAAGGGACATGACACTAGGCCTGAGAAATTCTGTTCTTTGCTGTTCCAAGAAAACTGCTCTCTTGGGCAGAGATCTCAGATTGTTTCTGGGATCTACTGGATCAACACTCCCAGTGTTGGGGTGACAGCCTCAAGTGCACTGATGACCATGGCACCACTGAGGCCTTGACTTGCCACAACATATCTGTTCCTTTTTTCTCAATACTTTTGAAACTTGCTGTGTTTCTTCTAAATGATATTGCAAATTGAGATCCATCTACCATTGGTGAATAGGTAGTTTTCCTTTGATAAGCTGTGGGGGAAATATTGGTGCAGCTGTGGCTCAAGAGGTAGCAGTCATTTCCCTAATAGATGGTCAGTGGGTCTGAAACGCACAACTCAATAAACCCTATGTTAATGATACATTCTTAATAAAATGTCTAACCCCCAAATTCCACTACCTCCGCTCCGGTCCGCCCCCGCCTTCCGCAGCCGTTCGCTTCCGAACTCAATTTTTACTGGTACCCGCTCTACAACGGCTCCGCTCCGGTGCGGAGACCTGAGGTGGGCAAACAAGCATGCGCGGGATTTTCGAGATCTTGCGATACAGTCCGAGCAATAAACGCGGAAGTTAGATCCAAACACCCGTTGTGTGGGAGAAGCATCGAAATGAACTGTTTAATCTGCCCGTCATTTGTGTTGAGAGATCAGCAGTGTTTGGATCAACAAAGTGTGATTATTATTATTAAATTATGGCTTAATTTTGTGCATTTAAACTTCAGCCGCCACTGATAGTTGTTAAAAGTTGTTAAACCTGTACATATGAAACAAAAAACGCCTTTTGTTTATCGATTTATTGTGAAAAACGGAAGTTGTGCTCGCTCCTTTTCCTGTTGGGCATTTGTGATTTCTGTCCATTTACTGCGGAGGTGCTCCGGCGTCCGGCAAAAATAGGATCGATTCTATTTTTGCCGGACGCCGGAACAGAGGGCGGCGCATGGCGCCGCACTGCCGGAGCACGGCCGCAGTAGTGGAATTGCTCTGACTGACTAGAACAGGACCGATTTTGCTCCGGCGTTCGTGTCGGAGCGGAGCGCAGCGGAGCAGAGGTAGTGGAATTTGGGGGTAAGTGTATAAAAATGTCCAGGGGAATTGTTGTCTGCTTGCTCTTGTTCAGGATTTATAAGAAGCAGTCATCAGAGGTCACTGCATGGTGGGGTTCTTTATTCAGAAAGGCATCAGTTGTGTGTTTAGCATACAACCCCCTTGCTTGCAAAGCAACTGTGGTAAATGGTATGGTGATTTTCTAAGTCAGATGACTCCAAAGCACTTTATACTTCACCCAGTCATTCACCCATTCACTCGCTGGTGATGACTGTAGCCATGGCTGCCTTGGAGCTCACTGACAGAAACAAGACAACCACAAAGCCAATGTCACTAGTCCCTATGACCACAACTAGCAGGTACGGTGGATCAAGTGTCTTGCTCAAGGTAACAACGACTGACATGGATGAAGCTGGGGTTTGTATCGGCAACCCACTGACTGCAGGGCAAACTCCTAAGCCCTGAGCCACCAATGGTCTTTATGTAAAAATACCTTCTCATTGGCCTAAGTGTGTGATGATGACTAACGGGACCTTAATAAACTTCTTTGAAATCATGTGAACGAAAGACTAGAAGAGCTTCTTTAAACGTAGCCCAATTTGATTGTACTTGATTGTGTTTTTATTTTGTTTTTGATGTTTCTTTAAATCGATTTGAGTGGAAACTACCAAAAAATTAGGCATCAACATATTCAGAGTGTTGTGTTTCCTTCTATAAACTACAGTGTGCTAACATTAAAAACCCCAATGAAGGATTACGTACATGGCATCATTTTACAAGCACAGCCTTTAAAGTCATATGCATCCTACTGCATACTGTTTGGAAAACACATTTGATCATCAAGTTAATAATTTCCATGCAGCCCCATTGCCAGTACTGAAGGGCAAGGCACCCAGTATAACAAAGTCATTTTATTTTCTTTTAGGTTTCTATTTCTCACTGTAACCTCATTTGATATGTTTATCAGCTGTCGCCCAATGGGCCGGCTTAAATTCTAACTTGCCGTGCAAGCTATCGTCTCGTGCAAGAATAGTTTCTGAGAAGCTTCAAAGCTAATTGCCTTGGAAGTGTGAGGGGAAGTAAATTAGTGTCACACCAATACCAAGAAAAAAGGTTCCCAATCGCATTTGCTTTTTTCGTGGCTTTGAGAATATTTCCTTTCCAGTCAGGGAAGCCTGTGTGCACAAAGTGGAACAGAGTGAATGTTCAGCAGAAATCAGTCACAGAGACACCATGCGCATCAGACAGGAAAAGAGAATTCTGCACAAAGATACAGACGAAAAGAGAACCATCTGAACGTTCAAGGGCTGTGTGTGAAGATAATATTAGTAGAAATTAAAAATGGTCTGCTCCAAGAAGATTAATTCAGTTCCTTCCTATTGAATGTAGGAGAAATCAGTTTGGATTTCTTCCAGCCCAACAGACCCTGTAGCCTTGTACATGTTAGAGGCCATTACCGAAATGCATGTTTAACAGAAGAGAAGCCAAGATTGAAAACCAGTTAAAGTACAGCATCGACTGAAGCATAACCCTCTGTCAACTGTAGTCAAATGATGCCCAAAAATGAATAACCCTAAGACTGTTCCCTACGCCATTTCCCTTAACACAAAAAGGCATGTTTGATGGTCTGAAATAGCAATATGCATGCATAAAATATAAATGTTACATTTTCACTATATTATTCTATGGACATGCGGAATCGAGCTGGCGCCTATCTCCAGTGGCCAACAGGTAAAAGGTGGGGTCTATCACAGGGCCACATGGAGACAACCATTCAAACTCACATAGCTTCAAACCAAGGGCCAATCAATGTGCATGATTTCAATGTGAGAAAGCCTACACAGGCCGTGAAAGCACATGCAAAATCCTCACAGAAAGGCCCCAGATGGGTGACAAACCTGCAACTGTATGATAGAATAGAATAGAATAGAATTTATTGATCGCACAGTGGGGAAATTCACTTGCTATAGCACTTAGAGAAAAGGAGGATTAAAAATAATAAGATTACAGATAAACACACAAAGGTAACAAGCTATTATTGTAACCTTCAACTTCTTTAACAACTAATAAAATGAAACTCTGAGTTTACAGAACTATGCAGCATAAGGGACACAGATGTACTAATGTACATCTGTT